GTCAGCCTAGCTCACAGCAACCTCAAACTCCTGGGCTCAGGCGATCCTCCTGCCTCAGCCTCCCGAGTAGCTGGGACTACAGGCATGCGCCACCATGCCCGGCTGATTTTTTTCTATATATTTTTAGTTGTCCAGATAATTTCTTTCTATTTTTTTTAGTAGAGATGGGGTCTCGCTCTTGCTCGGGCTGGTTTCGAACTCCTGAGCTCAAACAATCTGCCCGCCTGGCCTCCCAGAGTGCTAGGATTACAGGCGTGAGCCACCGCGCCCAGCCAAACTTGGATGATTGTTAGCAGTTTTTTAGCAATAAAGTATTTTTTAATAAACGTATGTACATTGTTTAGATATAATGGTATTGTATATTTAATGGACTGTGGTGTAGCGTAAGCATAGCTTTTATATGTACTGGGAAACCAAAAATTTTTGTTAATCACTTTATTGTGATATTTGCCTTATTGGGGTGGTCTGGAATAGAATGTGCAGTATCTGTGAGGTATGCCTGTATTGAATAGTCTACTTCTTTTTTTTCCTCTTTGGCTTGGTTTCTACTTTTCTTTCTCTTGTCACATCAGTGCTTCCTTTCCTATTCCTGCTTGAACTCATTTTCTTTATACAGTCCACACATTGCAATGAATTAGCTTATTTCTGAAGTCTTGTAATCTATAGGTTCCCTTCCAACTTCTTTTCCTTGTTTTTGTCATTGAAATAAATATGTTTTTCCTATAGCATTCCCAGATCTGGGTATTATTATTGTGTCCCCTTGGTACCGTTTAATAGGGTCCTCCATTCCTGAATTTCCTGCAAACCCTCAAGCAGATCCAGAGGTATGATTAGATTCAGGTTTTTGTCTCTTTGGTGCAACTTAGAAAACAATAGCTGAATTCATAAAAAGGCATACAATACAAAAGAATTACATAAAATAAAACATTATAGAACTCCACCTTCATCAAACCTTCCCGTTAATAAAAAGTTTGGTACAACTTCTATACCTTTTGCTTTATTATCTTTTATGTATATGTACAGGAGTGTGTGGGTCTTTTAAAAATATATTATTCCTCAGGATTATTTTTACTAAATATGTATGTGTCAGAAATCTTGCACTTTTATTACGTAGAAGTCTATTCATGACAGCATAGTTCTCTGTTGTATGAAAATGTATAATTTTCCTATGAATGTGTGGTTAGGTTGTTTTCCCCTTTTTTTGTCCCTGGCATTACAGAAGTTGCTATTTAGGACAGCTTCATACGTATTTCTTTGTGAACACATGCAAGTATTTCTGTTGGATTCATTCCTAGAAATGAAGTTGCTGAATCAAGTGGTAATAACTATTTAAAATTTTGGTGGATATTGCCAAATAGAGCTCAGAAAAGGATTTTTTGGAGGGGGGCTGTTTGGAAGGCTCTGTCAGTTTTCCCACCAACAGCCTGAGATTACCAGTTTTCCCTCATGCGTAGTAGTGTAGTGATATTATATTCCTTTTAAATCTTTGGTAGCCTGATAAAAGATATCTTGTATTTGGTTGAACTTATATCATGTTTATTGGCTGTGAATTGCCTTTGCATGTTTGTGCTTTTTTTATGGACTTTTTTTCTTAATGATATGTGGGAGCTTTTTATATATATTGTTATTAATCCTTTGACTTTTATATGTATTATAGTTTCTCTCAGTCTATTTATTTTTGTTTTGGTGTCCTGTCTTACATAAATTTTGTATTTTAATGAGGTCAAATTGACTGATCATTTTACTTATAGCTCCTAGGTTCAGTGTCTTTTTTTGTTTTTTTTTTTTGAGACAGAGGCTCACTCTTTTGCCTGGGCTAGAGTGAGTG